GAGAGAGAGAGAGAGAGAGAGAGAGAGAGAGAGAGAGAGAGAGAGAGAGAGAGAGAGAGAGAGAGAGAGAGAGAGAGAGAGAGAGAGAGAGAGAGCAGAGACGCAGAAAAGCAAAGAGGGGGCGGGAGATCAAAGGACTGTGCAGTAATTACTTCTCGCTGCGTAACTAACTAGTTAAAGAGTCAGTAAATTGGTCAATTTATATATTAAAGGGACAACTTGTTCCCTCTGAGGCCCTCAACGTCCGCTTCGCTAACTCTTCGCTTTTTCCCGAACCTTGCGGTCTGTCCTCTCCTTATGAGCCCCGCAGATCTCACAAGATCTATTTACCCTCGCGATCTTTGCGCTGTGCATTTCCCTGTCTGTGCTCTCTTAGTGAATCCTACGGTCTCTATGGTCTCTTAGCGAACTTTGTACGCGAATCTCACTGTCCAGTTCGCTCTCACTGAACATCGCGATATTAATTATGCATCGCATGCATAATTTCTTGAGGTGCTTTCTTATAAGTGTGACAACATGCGAGGGTCTGAGACTGTCTTATAGAGGTTATTGAGGATCGCAGGTGCGGTCCTCGTGGTAGGACAGAGTGGTTGGACAATGGTACTTTTCACTTGAGTCCTCTGTTCCCCCTAGTGGTAAGCAGATGCCTGCGAGACAGCTGTTGTGGCCTGCAACCTGGAAAATAGTCAGTGATTTGCCTAGTAGTTATGTACAAGCACACAGACACTAGCTCGATCTTGCAGGCACACACACACACACACACACACACACACACACACACACACACACACACACACACACACACACACACACACACACACACACACGTGTGTGCACGAGGCAGAAACAAATGGGCAAAGTTTCTTTCACCCTAAGTGCCCCTGTTACCTAGCAGTAAATAGGTACCTGGGAGTTAGTCAGCTGTCACGGGCTGCTTCCTGGGGTGTGTGTGTGTGGTGTGTAAAAAAAAAAAAAAAAAAAAAAAAAAGTAGTTAGTAAACAGTTGATTGACAGTTGAGAGGCGGGCCGAAAGAGCAAAGCTCAACCCCGCAAAAACACAACTAGTAAACACACAACTAGTAAACACACGTCCTTCCCGCCCTATAAGACGCCGTCAAGCGCTGACAGCCGGGTTCCTGCCAACCCACAAGGGCACAGTCCAATTTCCCTATATCAAGAGAGTTATAACTTTCTTTGGCTTAATAATCCAAAATTCCCCAAGACACTGACAGCCAGCCTTCGAGTGGTGACACAACATTATTTCCTTTCCTCTTTACGCTGTCTGGGGAGTATTTTCTTACCCCCCCCCCTTCCGCCTCAGTCACAGCTCAGATCTAAGCCGTCTTCCAAGGCTTCCTCCCGCCTGTGGTCATTGGAAGATAGGAAGTAAGGAAACTGCGGAGGGACTATTGACCAATACGAAACGGCTTCGATGTATATCCTCTCAACATATTTGTATCCTCCATAAAAATACACCGGAATGTTTCATGTAATTTTGTCTTCAGTCTCTTCGGACTCCTATTGTCACGAAGTTGTATTACCATACAACAACCACCGCTGGACCCAGTTATATAGTATAGTAGGCATCCATCAGTCTCGGGAGAGTATGGAGTTGCGCACTGGTTGTCGGTCTGGAGTGGCCTCACCAGGGCGCAAAGCCAGGGTAGGTTTATTCGGGGGAGAAGCTGTTACCCAGGCAGCAGGTCACCCCCTCTCCACGGCGCTGAAAGTCTCCAATGGAAAGACACTCACCTTAATAATCCATGAAATATGCATCTAGTTACCATATTGCATGTTGTCCAAGCGTGTCATAATAGTTCATGAGTATACCCTGTAGATTCAAATCCCTAAATTGGTCCACCAATGAATCTCTATATAGAACAATGCCAGTCATGTGGTCACCCATCCATTTACTGGCTAGGCAAAACAATGTTCTCCATGAATATCATTGCGAGGCTCCTTAACTCTTACTGAATGTATCCACGCTTTCAGTCAATCAAATTAGACATCATTTGAAAAAATTCCGGCGTTTAAGGCGGTCAATTAATTTGTATACAAAACACTTGTAGGAAAAACAAGTAACGTAGCTTCCAATACGAAGGATAAATCCCTGAAGGACGTCTTAAACAACATTACTCAGGAGCTAAATTGATCAGACAGAAGTAATGGTCAGTGATCGAGGCGAGGGAGACATTGATTATCAGAACCATATCAAAGTGACCTAAAGTTGAGGTGAAAACAATGAGTTACATATCCCATTCCAAACATAAGAGGACAACTTAGAAATTACGTTCATCAAGTAGTTTTTCCTTTGAAAAACACACAGAGAAGAAGAGGCACAAGACTCGCATTGCGATGATGTGTCTTGTAATAAAGTTTACTTGCTGACAGCATTAAATAATCTAAAAAATAGAGTGGAGTGGTTTTGCAGGAACTCTGCACTCCGTTGCCATAGAGATGTTGCTCCCCTGTCGTAAATTATGGTGTTTGCGTCGGCGTTCAGTGTGGAATAAAAACTGAATTTTGTGTGTGTGTGTTAAACTGGTGCGGTGCTGAAGTCAATCCTGGAAAATAAATTTGCACCACATTGAAAAGCAGTGATAAATTTATTCTCTCTCTCACTCTCTCTCTCTCTCTCTCTCTCTCTCTCTCTCTCTCTCTCTCTCTCTCTCTCTCTCTCTCTCTCTCTCTCTCTCTCTCTCTCTCTCTCTCTCTCTCTCTCTCTCTCTCTCTTCTTTCCTCTCTCAGTGAACATGATATATGACAGTGACACAATGGCTGAATCTTTTTCGAGTACCTCATTGAGTGCCTCAGTAACTAAACGAGTAGGATGCCCCTCAAGTGCATTACAATAACTTCACAACTGATGTAAACAAAGCATCGTATTAATGGAAAAGGAACAAGTTATTGCCTGTCCATAGTTCGAAATGTTTAACACATATATGAACGAGCAAAACTAACTTAAAAATTAACTAACTGGTTAAAGCTTAGTTAAAAGTTATAAGTCACAGTATTTGACGAGGGATATTCGATCCCCCTGTAATTTGAGCAGCATTGTGGTAGTGTGATACATATTGAAAGACACTTGAATTATCATACGTTTTCCATGCCAATGACCTATCCAAGGGGTTCATCAGCCTACACCCTTTGTGACCGGCTTTCTTCCCTTCGAACCCCATGGTCCGTTGGGGCAATTTGGTTGAGCTGATCCCTCCTCACTGATCTGAATTCCGGTCTTTTACACTTAGTCTTTGTCATTTAGTCTCTGAAGTCTCATAATTGTTGCATTTTTTATTTCATTTTTTACTTTCTTGTTTATCTTTCAATATTTTTTCTTTATTTCGTCCTATATGGTTTGACACCTACTGCAAGGATACTCTACACATCTAGAGGAGAGTTAAGGGAATTTGAGGCACTAGTTTCATCAGTGGTGTGGGCACAAACCCATCGCTGCCACCATTACTTGATGAACACCTCGTAAACAATTCTATTTGAGTTTATCTGTGTCTCAATACCTCTCACTTTTTGGTTCTTGGTAACAAAGCTGCTCATTTATTTTGTCCTTGACAGTATAGGATATCGAGGAGCATTCAAGGGCGTCACTTGCTGAGTTACCCTTATCTCTCAGCAGCAACACCACCACTACCACAACAACCTCCACCAGCAACACCTCCACCAGCAACACCTCCACCAGCAACATCACTACAACCTCCACCACCCACATCACCACGAGAACTATTAATACCACTATCATCACCAGCACAAGTATCACCATCATCTCCACCAGCGCCATCACTATCACCAGCAGCACTACCACTATCACCAGCAGCACTACCACTATCACCAGCAGCACTACCACTATCACCAGCAGCACTACCACTATCACCAGCAGCACTACCACTATCACCAGCAGCACTACCACTATCACCAGCAGCACTACCACTATCACCAGCAGCACTGCCACTATCACCAGCAGCACTATCACTATCACCAGCAGCACTACCACTATCACCAGCAGCACTACCACTATCACCAGCAGCACTACCACTATCACCAGCAGCACTACCACTATCCTCAGGACCATCACTACAATCACCACCACCACCACCAGCGTCACAATGACTGAAAAGCACCGTCACCACAATGCTACCACAAACACAACACCTCAACAACCACCATCACTACCACCACCACCACCACCACGTTAAACCCACCATCATCAAAACCTTCGTTACACTCCCCATATATCCACACAAAAACCGAATTGTTTCACTCCACATATACCTTCACCCCCCCCCCCCAAACCCCACGTATCCGGCTCTCCTCCGACCAAGCCCGACGGGTATTACTCTAACATTACGGTTCACAGCCTGAATATCCTGCCTCCAGCCTGATATAGGATGCAAAGCAGTATCGACACAGGCTGCTGTACCTAGGCGTGAGTTTCCTTTTGACTCTGAGTATACTTTAGGGTTTTAAGATCGACACTTTGTTCTTTCGTCTAGCGATATACGATACAAAAGTACAAAGTTAAAAGAATAAAATATTAGTGTTACAGAGAAACAGCTAAATTAAGGTTCAGAAATAGTAGGCACCCATCAGACTCAGGAGACTATGGAGTTGCACGCTGGTGTCGGCCTGGCCTGGAGTGGCCTCACCAGGGCGCAAAGCCAGGGTAGGTTGATTCGGGGGAGAAGCTGTTACCCAGGCAGCAAGTCCCCCCCTCTCCACGGCGCTGAAAAAAATTAATTTCTGAACCTATTTAGGTTCAGAAATAGGACAACAATAACTGCCACGTTTAGTCAGTAGAGGGCAGGGAGAGGGAAGGTGAATGTGGAGTGAAGCAAATCATTAATGGAACAGATGTGGGACTGCTGCAGCTGTTTGTGGGGGCTGTTGTTGAAGTAATGGTGTATTTTAAGGGTGGATTTGATGGTGGTGTTAAACGTAGCTCATCATGTGACGTGCCTGAATGCTCCTCAATGTCCTATCCGGTCAAGAAAAAAATAAATGTGCAGCTTTGGGTGTAAAGAACCAAAATGTGGGAGGTGGTGTGAGACTCAGATAACCTCACACTGAGTTGTTTGTGTTCTTCAAGTAATGGTGGCAGCGGTGGGTTTGAGCCTGGTGACTGCAGGCCACTGTCATATAACCTCACATCTTCAGTGGCGATGTTTTGAGCTTATGTGTGGCGAGGCTCCCACAACCGCCTGCTTCCCACACGGGGCCTGACGGCTGAGTGGACAGCGCTCGGGATTCGTAGTATTAGGTGGCCACTGGGTGTGTGTGAAAAAAAACAAGTTGATTTATTGACAGTTTAGAGGCAACCCCAACAAGTACACCCAGACGCTCCAGCACTCGGAGTTCGCTTCAGCACTCGGGGTTCGCTTCAGCACTCGGGGTTCGCTTCAGCACTCGGGGTTCGCTTCAGCACTCGGGGTTCGCTTCAGTACTCGGGGGTTCGCTTCAGCACTCGGGGTTCGCTCCAGCACTCGGGGTTCGCTCCAGCACTCGGGGTTCTCTCCAACACTCGGGGTTCGCTCCAGCACTCGGGGTTCGCTCCAGCACCTGGCCGCTCCAGCACCTGGCCGCTCCAGCACCTGGCCGCTCCAGCAGCTGGCCGCTCCAGCACCTGGCCGCTCCAGCACCTGGCCGCTCCAGCAGCTGGCCGCTCCAGCACCTAACAACAGTAAACCGTCCAGGTCGTGTTCAGCAAGTTGCTACGGAACTGGTAGAAAGTTGTGCAGGTCGACCTTCAGTTGTGCAGGTCGGTTGGTCGGCTGGGTAGAGATGTTGGAACAACAGTGAAACGATGAAGAAGAGCGGGAATAGGACCACAGCAACTACAAAGACACATAATATTAAGAGAACGGTAACAAGAGCCGTGAAAATACCTGTTACTGGACTCACGATGTAACCGAGTGCGAACAAAGGCACGAAAACCAGGCCGATTACCGCTATAGGAATTATTAATAGGATTAAAAATATTGTCAATATTATTGCAAAAATTACCTTTTCGACCCACCTGCAAAAGCCTCTCAGCACGGCTCTGATTTTCTGGCATAGCGTTTTCTTCTTCTTTGGCTTTTTATCGTCCGCCGAATGACATCCACCGAACATCCGGTACTGAAGCCTCGTGCTCAGCTCCGGGCTCAGCTCCGCGCTCAGCTCCGTGTCCCCCACCTGGAATAGGCCCTGCAGGCGCGACACCAACACGCTGGTGACGAAGGAAGCCCTGGACACAAGCCTACGGCGCCACTGAATTACGTTCCTGACCAGCCTCAAGCAGGCACTGGAGCAATACCAGGCCATCAGGACTAACCGCTTCCTGGAGGAGCTCATTTTGCACGCGTCAGACACCAAATAGGCCACCAGCGTCCTGCAGAAGATGTTCCACATGGCCTGCAGGAAGTCGTCCTCGTCTTCCTCCTCCTCGACCACGTCCCTCTTAGAGAATAAAGACCCGATGGCCCAAGCCACTAGGAGGGCTCCGACGAGCGCCAACGCAAATTTGACGACACCGTAGCCGCAGGAGGCCTCTGCCGGTGGCCAGGCGCCGCCCACCAGTTGCCACCACCTGCAGGAGAGCTCGTATAGGTGGGGGAGAGTGCCCACTAGAGGCACACGCGACCAGACGCTCCTGGTGAGCCAGGGTCGAGGCTCCAGGTAGATCAGCCTCCTGAAGGCAGCGCCCCATGTGTTGTGCAGGAACTCTACCTTCTGACGCAGGCCTTCACACACCGCCTCCAGCACCAGCCACAACACGCTTGTAAACATTACTTTATGTAGGGAATACATTATTTAATTTTTGTTATTAAACTTTGATATTATAGTTTTTAGGGGTGTTAGAAATTTTAAAATGTCGTAGAGTTTAGGATAAATGGAGATGACGTCTTGTGAGTCTTTATTGGTGGTTAGAATATGGTGTTGGTGACTGTGTGGTGGCGACTGTTGGAGACTGTGTGGTGGGCACTGTTGGAGACTGTGTGGTGGGCACTGTTGGTGACTGTGTGGTGGCCACTGTTGGAGACTGTGTGTGGTGGGCACTTTTGGAGACTGTGCGTGTGTACTCACCTAGTTGTGCTTGCGGGGGTTGAGCTTTGGTTCTTTGTTCCCGTCTCTCAACCGTCAATTAACTGGTGAACAGATTCTGGGTCCTACTGGGCTCTATCATATCTACATTTGGAACTGTGTATGGAGTCTGCCTCCACCACATTACTTCCTAGTGTGTGTGTGTGTGTGTGTGTGTGTGTGTGTGTGTGTGTGTGTGTGTGTGTGTGTGTGTGTGTGTGTGTGTAAATACTGACCATTCCAGGATGCAGCCCACAATAAGCTGTCTATTCCAGTCAAGTTATGTGTTTTACTGCTAGGTTAACAAAGGCATTAGATAAAAGATTACAATGGCCAAATGCTTCCGTCCTGCCATGGGAAAACGCGGCGGGAGTCGATCACTTAACCAACCCACTATGCAATATGACCCCCCACCCTCCTCTCTCTCTCTCTCTCTCTCTCTCTCTCTCTCTCTCTCTCTCTCTCTCTCTCTCTCTCTCTCTCTCTCTCTCTCTCTCTCTCTCTCTCTCTCTCTCTCTCTCTCTCTCTTTGATCTGCGCAAGATATCCAGCTGCTACACAGTCTAAGTCTATACTTTTCCTGAAACATTATTAAACCTCCTCTAATTTTAGCAATAAAATAGTCTTATTCTTGAACACGCGGAGCCAATCAGGACGTGTTTGGTCTGAAATAATCAAACAACGTCATAACACGATATCGTGTTATTGTACGGTTGTTGAAGAATTAGTTTAATCACACAGCGGTTGTCAGCATCGAGAGAGCGGTGTTTTACACTTTATCCGGATCTCAAGTTGTCTCCGTCTGTTTATCCTGGCCGTTCGGGCGGTTACTGCCCGCTGCCACCGTATACCGATCATCTCTTTTCCCCGCCTCAATGGCCGCGTTCCACTAGTTGAAGCCGTTTCAGGTTGAATAACAATAAGTCAAAACTTCCGCATGCTTTTTATGGGAATATTCCTGCAGTGGGTGATTCTGATAACAAACTTGAGGTAACATATGCCGCAGCAGCAGCCAGTGGTGTTAGAGCTATAAAGTTATCCGCTTTGGAACTTTGGGGAAAATGAAGGTTGGTAGCCTTTGTTTCCCTCGTATATTTTATTCCCAACTCCTCCAAGACACTCGGCGAGATTTCTTCAAGGGAACTCACGATCCTCTTTTGTGTTCGTAATTTTTGGCGCTGGGAAATGAAAGTAATCTAAGGGTAAGAATAAAGTTTTTTCCTCCAAAGTTGGAGATAAGGGTAGTCGGCGCCGAGTCAGCTCCCGTCTTGAACCATTTACAACAAACTTCTGAGATTCAGCAACGGTCCTCGAGCAGAGGAGTTTGAAGCCACGACGTCGCTCTCCATACATCTCTCGTCAGAGACTCCTCGAGGTATTTCTTTAGCCCGAGGTCTTAGGCATTACCTTCAAAATTACACCTGAGTCTCGATTACCCTCATGGTGACTGAACCTTTAGCTCCACTTGGACACCCGAGACTCTGTCATCCCCTGGTGTTTGAAGCTTTAGCTCTACAAGAACACCAAAGGCTCCATCACATCCTGGTGTTTTAAGCTTTAGCTTTACATGGATACCTGAGACTCCATCACATCCTGGTGTTTTAAGCTTTAGCTTTACATGGATACCTGAGGCTCCATGACCTCTAATGGGATTCTGCTAGTTGGACTAATGCTTGACAGAGAAGGAGAATGTTGCTTCCCTATAGGGATGCCAGGAGTCCGGTTTTGGACCCGTCTGTAAGTCTTTTCTGATTTCTGTCCGGTTAAAAATTAAAGTTGACACAAGATACGTATGTGTCTAGTATTTAACTAGGTCTAGTCTGGTCTGAGAGGTCTATTTCAGTAAAACTATTCTCACACCCTCTATACTGTGTTCTGAAACGTGGCACGTTTAAGAGTTCAGAAATCTCACAAAGGATTCAAATAATGCCTATGTACGCCATTCAAAACGAAATACTGCCAGAAATCACACCTGAGTGTCCCAAGCTAGTCTACCGTGGGCTGTGCATGCAGGTGATTGTATCATTCCGGCCGCCCACTGGATGGGTGTAGGGGCGGGGTGGTTGAGGAGCAGATCAAAATTAAATCTCAAATATGAATTACTTACCTTAAAGATCACTTTAGTTCAATACATTTTACCATATTGTGACTCTGTGACCTTTCTCTCCCTTACCTGTAGGAAGAGCTTGTGGGTTATCCTTATTACCTTAAACTAACAACATTGAAATGTTTTAAGCCATATTGTTTTACATCACTATTATGGCTACTGTGCAGCTGCGGGTGTCCACGATAACTCAGAACAAGAACATACTCGAACATAAGCGAGGAAAACGCATACAGCTGCAGTTTCTGTAATTTGTCTGAATTAAATTTAGCATTAGAGCGTTAACCTATTAAAATCAAACTTTATAATTAAGCCATCAGCCATGTTGCTCAGATTTTGTGAGCGGTTTTAGTGGAGAGAACAGGTTCCTAGCCTGGTGTTCGTCTGGTGGACCAGCACCTGACTAGGGGGAGTCTATCTCCCTGCTGGTGTTCGGCTGGTGGACCAGCACCTGACTTGGGGAAGTCTATCTCCCTGCTGGTGTTCGGCTGGTGGACCAGCACCTGACTAGGGGAAGTCTATCTCCCTGCTGGTGTTCGTCTGGTGGACCAGCACCTGACTAGGGGGAGTCTATCTCCCTGCTGGTGTTCGTCTGGTGGACCAGCACCTGATGGAGGGAAGTGTGTATCTCCCTTGTGTCTTGTCACATGGTGGGCTTGTGTCCGTCTGTCAGTCTACCGCCTGATAGAGGGCGCGTGTTCTTCCTTCAACGAAGGACGAGTGTAGCTAGAACTCAGAATCGTCATCGCCTGCTGTTTATTGGAACTATTTTCTACACTTTCCTCCCTCTTCGTCTCTTTCGTCAGCATCCATGCTCTATGCCTTCTTGTTCTCGTACCCTTTGCGCATTATATACTCTTCTTTTAGTTCAATCTTTCTCTTAGGTTACCGTCTCTTTCCTTTCACCTCTTCTCCTATATTTCACAATCCACATTTTCCCTTCCATCTGTTTACCTACTTCAGTTCCTTTTAATATATCACATATACAAATACCTGTGCATGCGCGCTCCTAGGAGAACCACACCGCAATAGGTTCAAAATTAGGAAATAGACTTCGCAAACCGGGAAAAAGCACAATACCTGCGGGAGAAATATGAGTTAAAGAGGGTTGGAATTCACTGCAACGCGTAGTGTTGATGAGGATTGGAACCCACTTCAAGGTTTTGCGTTCTTGAGAGTAGTAACAAGCTGCTAGACAGAGCAGTGTTTTGGAACTGCGTATAATCTCTTAAGAATCAACACAGTAAATACGCAGAAGATTGAAAGTCGTGGACTACATCCCTCTCTAATAAAACCATAAACAGGTCAGCATGCTTTCTTCACATAGGCCTCGATGGATTAATTGCTTGCTTTGGTTCATATACAGACGAGGAGTCACAATAACGTGGCTGAAATATATTGACCAAACCACACACGCTAGAAAGTGAAGGGTTCGCATGTTTCTGATTAGGGACAAAAATTAACGCTTTACCAAGTGGCAGATCAAGAGGACGAGCAGGCTAGAGACAGCTCTTACACTAATTACTGTACTGAACCGAAGATCATTGTCTGTCCAACTGAGTCTCTCTTGTGATTATTTTTTTATCTCACAGCTATAAAATAATCATCATTCTGAATAATGAATTTCTGAGATATAAAAGAAATAGTTTAATAACTTAGAATGCCCCTCGACCCTTCCAACCTTTTCGAATTACGAACATGAAATGATTAATGCAATCTGTGGGTAAAGTGTGGATTTCCGCCGGTCATATATCACCTTGGTGTTGACGCCGGAGCTCTCAGACCGAGCCACGGTTTGATAGCTAACTGCACCATTGCATTAGAATGTGCTAATGATACTAACTCTTTGTTTGCCAACCTGTTTTTGCACTTAATGCAACATCATTTTTATCACTGTCAAGCAAAATGTAAAAAAAAAAATTGTGCTAAAGTGAAATTAAAACCATCAAACTGTTGAAGCATCCACGGGCTAATTACCAATGGCCTCGAGGGCTTGGAGGAATTGTCTTAAGTTTAAACGCTTCTAGTTACTTAAACCACTTCAAATTTGATACTGATCGAATCGTGATAACGGGATCTATGACTAGTGTCACTAGAATAGTCACTACTTGGTTCACTAACTACCGCCTCTCGATTTACCACTCAGTAAAAACTGGAATCGCTTGTTGACCAAACCACACACTAGAAAGTGAAGGGGCGACGACGTTTCAGTCCGTCCTGGACCATTCTCGACCTGGACAATTCTCGACACAATCGACTTGATAAACGTCCAGGACGGACCGAAACGTCGTCGTCCCTTCACTTTCTAGTGTGTGGTTTGGTCAACATATTTCAGCCACGTTATTGTGACTCCTCGTCTGCAATCGCTTAGCTCAACCAGAAACGTACAAACTCAACCAACGTAATTAACCTATCAAGATCGATGCAGAGAAAACGTCTGTTTAAGGTGCTTTAATATTAACTAATACGGTGCATTTTTTATGTATTGGACGATTCAGTTAGAAATATGATGCATTAGTAGGGAGCCGGTCGGCCGAGCGGGCAGCACGCGGGACTTGTGATCCTGTGGTTCTGGGTTCGATCCCAGGCGCCGGCGAGAAACAATGGGCAGAGTTTCTTTCACCCTATG